ATCCACGATGAGCTGCCAAGGATGCAGCTGTCCCCCTGGATGTCTAGCCTGGAAATCAGTATTAGTGATATATCCCCAGAACCCAAAAGAATATGTGCCACATAGTGGGTGCTTAGTACATATCTGTGGGATGATGGATGGATGGATGGATGGTGGATGGATGGATAAGTGGGTAGATAGATGGACGGATGGATGGACGGAGAGACAGATAAGCGGGTGGATGGATGATTAAATCCATAGGTGTGAATGATATAACTTAGGAAGAAAGAATTGAGTGAGAAGGAGAGAGCCCAGGTCCACACCTTGAGGAACTCCAATATTTTGAAGAGTGTTGACAGTCTTTGCCAGATTGCACTTCAGTGAGGCTGCATGAATTTGACATTTTTGCAGCAATGTGTGAGAATAGAGGAGCGATTTTTCAACTCGGGTGATTCAACATCCCCAGCCAGGATGTCTGCAAAGTGATCCAGAAGGTGGTGTAAAATTCTTAAAAGCAAAAACAAGATTAACTTTTATATAAGTGCCCACCCCTCACATATAGCACAGAGAAGAAGGCGGCTGATTTTCTCCCAACTACCCAGCCCTCCAACCCCGAGTCTTACTGTTGTTGTAATCATGGCAGAGTCTTGAGGGTACGTGAAATCAGGAGAAACATGACCACACTCTTAACTGTTCTTCGGATTGGAACTAAAACACAGGCAGACCATGCTCTCCATCCTACTAACAGTGGGGCCAAGCTCTACGTGCACTGTCCCCTCCCCACGCCCAAAGCATTTTGGTTATTGTAATCAAAGTCTGTAACCGACTCATATGTTACCACAAAGAAACGTGGGTGGTAAAGTGAAGCTGTCAGGGCAGCGATTCCAGGAAGGCTAAGACTCACCCCAGGCAGCATTTCTCAGACCCCCACCACCACCACCCCGCCCACCATCTTTTTCTCCTGGCTTCATAGACTTCAGGAGACTTGAGCTCCGCAGATCCCTCCTCCACTAATGCGCACTGTGTTCTGTGAGGACGGGATAAAGAACGCAGCGTTCCCAAAATAAATTTCTCCTTTCTTGATGCCCTTTCCCCCAACGAACGTCTCTTGGAATGATGCCCTGTAGAACACCTGTTGGGGAAACACTGCATTCCGTGTCATAAGAAGTCAGAGAGGAAGCGTGGAGGGGAGTGACGGAAAGGTTAGTGGGTAGGGCGCACCCGTCTTCCTTTCAGCAGGAGGGGAAGTTGACGGTGAAGGTCATTTATCTTCCTGTACAAGCAGCATCATGGCAAGGCCCCCAAGGACGGGAAAAAAGAGATGAGCTTCGCTATTCCATAGACTCTCTGTATAAAGTACCACTGTTCTGAATTCCTAGCCAAGAGCCGTCTACACCAGGATGAGGAGGAGGAGGGGGGTGAGGACAATGATGGTGATAATGGAGATGATGGTGGTCACCATTCATTACGGAGCACTTAGATTCTGGATGCTGTTCTAAGTATTTCCCACATATCATCTCAGTTCATCTTCACAACTCTAGAAGGCAGGTACCGTTATCCTCACTTTAGAAAGGAAGAGACGGGCTCAAAAATTGTTTCTATGAGTATTCCATCGTGATAAGGTGACTCAGGGTACTTTCCGTTGCAGAGGCCAGCAGGGGGTCCCCAGTCATTGATCACCTTCCACAAACACTCCTCAGAGACTTCCGTGTTCCCAGCTCCGGAGAGGAACCTGAATGGTTTATTTAGCACCTCCCGCGGACTTATCTCTGTGTTCCGTTTTTTATAGGCATTGTGTGCTGTTATCCTCCCCCATCCCAGTGAGCTAGGGACTATTCTTGGCTTTATTTTTCAGGTACAGAAACTAAGCCTCAATGACATGAACAAACTTGCTCAGGGTCACGCTGCCGGTACATGATAGGGTCTGCATTCAGGCTGAGGTCACTGTGATCCTAATTCCTGTCCTTGTTCTTTGACACCACACTCCCTCTGAAAATCTAGGGGGGATACCAGGTGCATGCCCAGCGCTCAGAGGACAGGCTCTGTCATGAACTTGGCAGAGATAGAGCTAAGCATCTTTGTTCCCTGAGGGGAAGTATATCTGGCGCACACCAAGAGCCATCCATGTCCACGGAAAGCCCCATTTGCGTTATCACAGCAGAGTGGTTCCATACGTGGGCTTGGAGACCTGCTGCCGAGCTCTGAATCTCAACTCTGCACTGACTAGTTGTGGGAGCAAGTTACTTGACTCCTCTGTGCCTCTGTTTACTTGTCTGTAAAGTGGGGATAAAATCTCATAAGGTGGTCGTGAGGATTAAACGATGTGATGCACACACACGCGCGCGCGCACACACATCACAGAGCCTGAGTCACAGGAAGCCTTAATAAGTGGGAGCTGCCATCATCGTCAGCCTCAAATCTTTGTTGATTTAATGCGGCCTAAATGTGGGTGGCGCTCAGATGGGTGTATGCACAGGCAGTACAGCTTGATTTGTTCACACCAAGGGGACTTTACAGGCAACCCCTGCCCATCTCCACTTGGCAGCAAAGGGGGTTTTCTTTGCCACCGTCAGCACTCAGTTGGGTTAAACCCAAAGTAGCCTTTCCCAGGCCTCCTTCCTTAGAGTCATGACAATGGGCCTTATGTCCCAGCTGCCAAGTGGCAACGCTGGGACTCAAAGCCCCTGCCCTCAACCACCATACTCCCTGCCTTTTCAAACACTGACCTAAGACTTAAAATACATCTAACAAGCTAGGTCTGTAAATCCTGAAATGTCCCCTAGGGGAACCCAGGTCTGATAAATGGAGAGGGAAGCCACTGGTGTTGTTGGGTGATGTCATGGGCAGCTCAAGGTTGGGGCTGCCTCTAAGATCTGATTCGTGAATTAGCTGTGTGGTGCAGCTGGGCAGATAAAAAACTTCCAAGGAGGAACCTTGAAAGTTAGTTCCCCACTCCTCCGGCCTGCTTTCTCAGCGCCTTTTGATAAGGAAAGGAAGGACTACATTTTTCTTTGCAAGCTCATTTGTTTATGTCACTTCTGCAAGACTTTGTTGCAAATAAAAGCCTTCCCTGCATATGTAGAAAATCATGTTCTCAGCTATCCAAGATATGCAGTATTTTTAAGTGAAAAAAAAGCAAGTTGCAGTACAATATGCATAGTGTACTTTCATTTTTGGTTTGTTTTGTTTTTTTTTAATGTCAGTATCTGATCAAAAGAAAAATCTCAAGAAAAAGACATAAAACAGTTGTGAACATATTACCCCAGCATGGTGGATTGTCTGGGATCTTTACTTTCTCTTGGCTGTTCAACACCTTTGTATTGTAGGCCTACTGTGTGCTGGCCACTAAAGCTACAGCAGTGAACACTTTCCACATTATGGATTTCTGTAATATTTGGATTTTTGTAATAGGCACATATAACTTTTGTAAGCAGAAATATAAGAATTGTTCCTTCTCCCAAAGAGGGGAGTCCATTATGATTACAGTGCATCATCAAATCTAGAAACATAGTCACACACTCAATCTTCTGCTTCACCGTCCTGGGCCCCCTCTCTTCCTCATCCTCTCTGGATCCTACCCCAGGTTTGATCCTTCCCCTTGGGTGTCTGGGTCACAGGTTGCAGCTGAACACACTCCCAGACCCACCCCAGGGCAGGCATCGCAAATCCATGTACTCCTTGTCCCTATGGCCCAAGCCAACAACACCCAGACCATCTCGCCTCCCCTGCCATCTTGGTACCCTGCCAACACACCTCTCTCCAGGCACACCTCACCTTAGCCAGCCCAACCCTTTGCCCTCGAGCCTCCAGTCTCCTTTGAAAGAGAATGACAGACACAGGTCTGAATTCCGATGCTACCACTTGCCAGACCTGTAGCCAGACCTTGCTGAGCCTCTGTCGTCTTACCTGTAAATGCAAACACATTTCCTTGATGGGTTGTTTATAATGATTAGAAAACATCATGTGTCAACTCCTGGCATGGTGCCTGGCACACAGCAGGTGCTTAATACTTGATAGCTATTATTATGATATTCCCACTCTTCCACGCTGAAAATTCTCAGAAGGTTGCCTTGTCGGAGGTCAAGGCCCCAGGCACCAGCGTGTTTAGCCCCTTCCTTTCTCCCTCTGCACCCATCTTTCCTCCCTGCCCTCCGTCTTCCCCGCTGTGTTCTCCTTCCAAATGCAGCTCTTCCCGCCCCGTGGCTCCCCTTCTCTCTCCCGCCCGGGGAACTGGGCACGATGTCCTGAATTACGAGCTCCTTCTTAGGCGCCTTCAGCCTTTCTCTCTCTCTCTTCTCTTTGCCATCAAACATAAACTTTAAGATGGTATAATAATTCTTCACTGGAACGCACTGCTCCTTTAGCTCCTTTTCTGCTGCTTGCAGTCCTGCCTCACCGATGACCTTGAAGAACCATGTTACACCCTTTATCTTCACTGCCAACATCCTACTTTGTGTTTGCTTTTTTGCTTTGCTTCTGCCAAGTAACCGACAGGGAGCCACCCTGTGCTGGCCGGCCCACTGCCTTTCCCCAGCCTGTGTTCTCTCTGGCCTGCCCAGCGCTCTTGATGTTGATCTCTGTCTGTTCTCAGCAGCCCCTTTCACCAATTCCTGTCCCTATTGTCCCCTCCAATGCAGTCCTTGGTCCTCCCTTCTCTTGCCTCCTTTCTCATGAAGAAACTCCCCACTCCAGGTGCTGCAGCAGCCACTGCCATGCAGTGGTGGCCAAATAGACATCTTCACATACTGGGCTGGCCAGACCAGGAGTGCAAGTTGGGTGCCTCATAAGGGAGCGCAGCCAAGGCAGCAGGTGGGGTGCCCCTGGCTGGGGCCATGTCCGCCGGGAGGAATGATGCCGTTTCCTCATTCACACGAAGACCCTGGATAAGCTGGGCTGCTGTTGCCAACCAAGCATGTCCAGCTCTCTGGCCACCTCGCCTTAGAATCCTAGCACCTCAAATGCAACACGTCTGACACTGAGCTTGGCAGCTCGTCCCCTCTCCCCAAGCGCCACACCACCCACCCTGTCTCCTCCTCTGTCTGACAGTGGGGCCACCATTCTACCCCTAAAAAAGGCTCTTTCTCTCTAATTCTTTTTTTTATCCTTGCTTTTCCCACCTTAATTTAGAACATGAAGACCTGGAGGTTCCTGGGGCACTTAGCCAAGTTCCCACTACGAGACACCTGGCAATGTCTAGAGACATTTTTTTATTATCACATCTGGGGTGGGGGGGGTGCTCCTGGCACCCAGTGGGTAGAGGCCAGGGAAGCTGCTAACGGTCCTACAGTGCACACAGCACAGTTCCTATAACAAAGAATTGTCTAGTCCAACATGTCAGTAATGCTGCAGTTAAGAAATCCTGCTAGCTCCTTCCTCTCTGATGCATCCCTGTTATTTTTCTGGAAAAAACCAAAAACCAAATAAAAACCACTAAGCAACAAGCCAATTCACTGCTTCATCAGCAGCTGAAACAGCAGTGACTCAGGCCCTGGAGTCACACCAACTTGAGCCCAAGTCCAGGTTCAGCCATTTGTCAGCTGTGTGGCATTCAGCAGCCACGTGTCTCAGAGCCCAACTGCCCCATCTGTAAAATGGGGCGATGATCAAACAATAATACAGTGGGGTGATGCGTTGATTGCTTAGTGGAGGGCCAGGTACATAGGACACACTTGGTAAATTTCAATGATGTCTAAATCAAGTTTACATGTTTTAGGCTGATGTTCTAGGCCTGCCGCAAATTGACCTCAGCCTTCCAGCCAAGCTCCAGCTGCTGTTCCTCCCCCTCCCATCACTGCTCCAGCCCCGTTCAGCTCAGCACTCTCCCGGGACATGCACTGCATCCCCGCCCTCCCCACCTGCCTCCCGCCCCATATGAGTTTCCCATCGCTGCTATAACAAATTACCACAAACTCAGCTGCTTAACACAACACATATTTACTTAGTCGCTTTAAGTTCCAGAAGCCGGAAGTCCAAAATCAGTATCACCGGGCCAAAGTCAGAGCTTTGGCAGGACTGGTCCCTTTGGAGGCTCCAAGAAAGAATCCGTTCCTTGCCTGTTTCAGCCTCTAGAGCTTCATTCGTTGTCTTCCTTGGCTCGTGGTCCTCCGTTTTCACAGCCAAGAATGCGGCATCTTCAAATCTCTTGCTGCTTCTGTCACATTACCATCTCCTCTGTCTGTAGTCAAATCTCCCTTTGTCTCCTTCTTATAAGAATCCATGTGATTATATTGGACCCACCCAGATAATCCAGGATAATCCCCTCATCTCAAAATCCTTAACTTCATCACATCTGCAAAGATCCTTCTGCCCTATAAGGTAACATTCACAGATTCCAGGGTCTAGGGCCTGGATATCTTTGGGGGCCATCACTCAGCCCACCACATCCTCCATTCTGAAATGTTCTCCCTTCTTACTCTAAATTCTGCCCACACCCAGTGGCTTCTCGGCCAGTAGCTTTCTTTGATCTCTCCAAGCAAATGATCCCTCGTCTTCTGAGACTGTCACACTCCCCCACTCCTTCAGCAGTCACTGTCATGCTACCTGGAGTCACTGCATTTTTCCTGTCAGGCATTTAGACATTGTCTCTCCTATTATTCCCCCCGACACTCAGCTCATGGCTTTGCACACAGTGGGCACTTAGTAGGTATTCTGTTGATGGTTATGTTTTTTTTTAACTTTTCACCCCAAAAAAGAAACTTGGCTTTGAGCCCAGCCAAGGCTGAACAGCTATTTCAAAACCACAAGTTGGATGGCAACTCATGTTTTCTTGATGGGCAGGCAGTGTTTCCTTCGTCCACCTGTTGGCAAGCTCTATTACGACATTCAGAAAGGAAAGGCAAGGAATCAAATAGATACTTACCTTCTTCTTGCTTCTGTTTTTAAGGATTGTCTTTGTATCTGAAATACCTTCTGGAACATTATAAAAAAATTACAAGCCGGACCCAGGAACTTCAGGTAATCTTTTAACTTTGAAAGTTCATTTCAGCTTTTCCTTGGCTGTGCATTTAACGCTGATTTCTCTGTTATCTGGTCCACATTCTCCAAGAAGTGAAATTTATCTCCGTTTGCACATGAAAAGATTCAGACAGGGTGACAGAGACCTCCAGGAGGGCCAGGGCACAGACAGGATGCTTGTTTTCCTCTGTCAAAAACCACAGTGTCTTAAGTGCCATCAGATCTAGAAAATTGTATTTGTTAAATGCCATGGAAGAAGTATGGCTGGCTACAGTACTGGCAGCAGAATTACCAAAAGTTACATGATGTCAACAATTTAGAGTCAAAATGACCCTTAGAGATCGTATCACCCTGGTAGTTGTTGCCATAATAATGCTGTATAATAAACACCCACAAAACCTGAGTGACATTCCACAATTACTGTTCCCTTATCACATGCCTGGAGTCAGCCCCTAGGTAGGTCCACTAATCTTGGATGGGCTTGCTCACGGGTCTGTGTTGGCCTGTCCTTGATGGATCTAGGCTGACCTCAGCAGGAGCAGCTGTCCTCTGTTCCACGTGTTCTCAGCCTCCAGCAGGCTGTCCTGGACATCATGGTTAGCAGAGGTTCAAGAGAAAGCAGACCCAATCACAGAGTGCTTTTCAATCCTCCTCTGTTCATGTTATGTCTGCAAACATCTCATTGGCCGAAGCAAGTCACATGGCTGAGCTCAGCATCAGGGAGCAGGATATGGATGGGCCCTGCAACTTATATAACCAAAGACACAGGAGTATTGGGACCACCGCTGTGCTCAACCACAGAGACCATCTAGTCCAGGAGTCAGCAAACTATCTGTAAAGGACCAAATGTTAAATATTTTAGGCTTTGCAGGTCATATAATCTCTGTCACCTGTTCGACTCTGCTGTTGCAGAGCAAAAGAGGCCATAGACGGCAGGTACATGAATGAGCATGATGGGCATGCCCCTGTTCCAATAAAACTTTATTTATAAAAACAGACAGTGGACCAGATTGAGCCTGCTGACCATAATTTGTGAACCGCTGATCTAGTCAGTCCATTTTCCTTATTTTACAGATATGGACATTGGCGTTCAGAGGCTAAGTAACTGTTTCAGCGTAACACAGCTAATTGGTGGAAGAATTTAAAAAAAAGCTTGGGTCTTCTCACCCTAGCTCACTGCCCTCTCTCTTACATTCAGCAAATAACTAATAAACCTAGCTACCATTTACTGGGCACCTACTATGTGCTTAAAGCTTTCCATCATTATCTCACTTAATCCTTAAAACTCTAAGAGGTAGAGTTTTAATTATTAACCTCATTTTTTAAATGAAGAAGCATCTAGAAAGAACTAGAGCTGATGTGCTATATAGATCCAGAGTCTGAGCTCTTAACCACTGGTAACTAGGTTAAGCATAGTTTTTCTTTATTTTTAAGAAAGTTTTGTGCAAACCTTTGTCCCTCCCCACAAAGGTAAACATGTAAAAAACAAACAAACAAAAAATGTGGAAATGACTCCTTAGTTAGTCCTGTCGCCCATCAGCCTCAGCGTCCTTTCCTCTCATTTCAGATCAAGATCAGCAGTTCTCAGGAAACTCAGCAGTCTTTGCTACAAGAAAAGGTGCAGGAGCATCTGGCCGAGAAGGAGAAGCTGAACGAGGAAAGACTGCAGCAAGAGGAGAAGCTGAAAGCCAAAGTCAAGTGGCTGATGGAAGAGAAAGCGGTAAGGTCCCTGTCGGTTTTTTTTTTTACTCCTGGAAACTGATGAAATGGCCTTTTCTGTGAGAAATTCAGCGCATGTATTTAGATGGAGAAACCTCAGCAGCTCCTTGTTTGCTGTGTGGAACTCAATTATTTAAATGGGGTGAACGATGGAGCGGTTAACATGGGGCTTGAATTCTGAAACACAGAGCAAAATCAACTTGAAGAGGCAAGGTTAATGAAATTTCTAGAAAGGATACCTCATTTGTTGACAAATCCGCATCATCACTAGGGGTTCTGGTTTGTAACTGACAGGCTGTTTCTCCGTGTGTGCAAGACCAACTTCATATTTATTTTAGCCTTTTGCTTTCTCTTTATATATATTTATTTTAGTCTTCTTTTCTCTTTATACATACGTATTTCAACCATTTGCTTTTCCTTTATACATATCAGAGAAAACAAATGGCCAAAATTGCTATTCACTTTTCTAGAAACCAAGTCAATTAGAGGATATTTGACAGCAGTGCCTCTCAAGCTGAAGGGTGCCCCAGGGCGCCCTGGGAATCTTGTTAACATGCAGATCCTGACTCAGCAGGTCTGGGGTGGAGCCTGGGAATCTGCATTTCTAACAAGCTCCCGGCTGGTTCTGACAAGCACAGGTCTGCAGGCCACATTTTCAGCAGCAAAGTCTCAGAGGAAAATTTTCACGAAGTTGCCTGCTAAGAACCACCTGGACACTGGTTAAAAATACAGATTCTTGGGCCCCACCCCAAACCCACTGAACCAGAATCTCTGGGGAAAGCCAGAAAACAGCGTTTAAGAAGGCGAGTCTCATCACTGTCCTAGAATTAGCCCTTTTTGATAGTCAGGGGCCACCATGATTTTAACCATCTCTTTGCCATCATCTTGTGATCAGTGGCTCATGACTTCAGCGGCCCTTTTGTCATTCAGGAGATTAAAAAATACTACTGCCCGGCACCTCTCCCAACACCCCCAGTTCTGATCTCATTGGGGTGAGGGTGTGGCTCATGTGCTGGGATTGGTAAGCGCTCCACATGGTTCCAATGTGCAGCCACTGCTGAGAACCCCTTCGTGCTGACACCCCTCCCACCCATCTCAAGATAGCAGCATCAGATCCACTGGACCCCAACTCTTCCCCAGCACCTCCTTTCTTACCCCAGGAGGACTGGACCTGCCGCTTCCTCCATCTTTTACTGGTTGAAGCTCGGTAACTTCCGGCTTGGACCATCCTTCTCTGTCACACACACCCGCTTTCCAGACCCCTCCAAGAGACAGAGACCTCTGCCTGGTATCGTTTCATCCTCCAGTTCATGTCTAGTTACCTCAAGAAATCTCTCTCCTCCTCCTATCTCTTCTTCTCTTTGCTTTCTCTGCCTTTCTGTCTTTTGTGAAATAAAGGATTGAAAAGGAAGAACTATAGGACCAAAATCACCTCTGATCCACTTAAAGGCAACATTAACAATAGACTTAAATCAAGATGAGTCTCTTATGAAGCCCAATTAGATGTAGAAAAAGCCAGTATTATTCAATAGCAGAAAATAAAACCGGGGGGGAGGGGAGCAATAATTTTTCACATACTCTCCACCTGCTTCCTCACTCCTCTCTGATTAACTTCTCCCTTTCCAAACATCTTACTTTATTTTTAATTTTGGGTTGACGTTTTCCACGGTGGGAGCCCGGTATTTCAGCCCCACCGTGTTCAACAGTGCCTCGTGCATGAGCCTGCGCCTCCCAGATGCCCACTTATAACATTGGTCCTGACAAAGACAGTGTTAAGACTCCTTTAAAACACAACAAATGTCAGCACACACCACCCCTTGCAGTGGGGGAAGCAGTGTCAGGTACTCACCATACCCAGGGACACTGCTCATCTTCATTATTGTCCCATCAAGGGTCGTCATTCCCCAGACACTTATGTTGATCACCATGTGACTCATCTAAAAGTGTCATCCCAGACTTTAGCACAGGGGGGCTCCAATTTTAAATGAACCTCCCTCATACCATATAACACCGTCACCCTGTCTCTAAAAGCGTGTGTGTCAGACCAGAATTTATTAGTTATGTTCCTTCTTATGAATTGTTACTTGTTTGAGGACTGTTTCAATGGTAAGAAATTTTAGGTTCCTTTCTCAAGCTAACATTCTTTCTTAGTAAGATCTATTAACAACATGCACCCGATTTTTGCACATACTAATGGTTTGGGTCAGAGGTCGGCAAGAACCAGATCACACATATTTTCAGTTTTGCAGGCCATACAGTCTCTGTGGGGACTGCTCAGCCCTTCTGTTCTAGTGCAAAGGCAGTCATAGGCAATCCTCAAATAATGATCCTGGAGGTGTTCCAATAAAACTTTATTTACAAAAAGCAGGCAGAGGGCCAGATTTGGCCTGTAAGCCACAGTTTGCCAACCCTTGGTTTAGAACACAGGCTCTAGAGTCAGATGGACCAGGGTTCGAATCCCTGCTCATGTGACTTACTGGTAAATCAGGCAGATCCGTTAATCTGTCTTTCCTATTTCCTCCTCTGTAAGGTAGAGATGACAGAAGAATGACCAGCCCTTATTAGCGAATGGTCATTTCATGTTCATTATCTCATCTGCTCCTCACATCAAGCCAATGCAGGAAGCACTATTAGTGTCCCCACTCTATAGATAGGGAAACTGAGACCCCTGTAGCTTCTCACTTACCCAAGGTCATACAGCTAGGAAGGAAGGGTCTGGGGCTCTAATCCAGACCCCGTGCTCTGAGTAAAGCTTGATCCAGCTGAGCGTGGATCCTGTGCTCTTACCTCTAGGCTGTGCTGCCCACAGTCTCCTGTGGGGTTGTTGTGAGTTATGAAGCGATAACTCATTGCAGTGCCTGGCACAGAGTCCAGATTCTGCCATGGTAACTGTGTCTATTAAACAACAGCCATTGACTTTCAGGCTTTGGAGGAAAGCATTACTCAAGAGAAAAACAGAGCAAAAGAAGCACTAGAGGAAGAACAGAAGAGAATGCAAGAGCTGGAGAACCTCCTGACCTGCCAGAAGGAGGTATGCAGCTCGGGGAGACAGAGTCAGTCTGCGTCCAAATCAAGGCCATGCAGCCCGGAAGGACTGACCTGGGGCTCTGATCTGGGCCTGCCCACTCCAGAGCCCGGGCTCTTAGCTGCCCACTGTCTCCTGTGGGGCGGTTGTGAGTTATGAAGCGATCACCCGTTGTAGTGCCTGGCACAGAATCCAGATTCTGCCGTGGTAACTGTGTGTATTAAAGAACGGTCATTGGCTTTCAGGCTTTGGAGGAGAGCTTTGCTCAAGAGAAGAACAGAGTGAAGGAAGCGTTAGAGGAAGAACAGATCCGAGCCCGAGAGCTGGAGGCTCGCTTGACCCGCCAGAAGGAGGTATGTAGCTCGGGAAGATAGAGTCAGCTCGAGCCCAGACTGGCTGGAGGGCTGTGGAAGTAGGCTCAGCACCACAGACGATGGGGGGCAGAGTGAAGCGGAGCTTTCCTGGAGTCAGTTGCCCTTGGGAGGGCTCAGCCACTCTGGGGAGAAGCATGGTGGACCCTAGGAGAGAGCCCAATCTGGTA